CCCAAACCAGTCTGTGATTCTATGAAAAAGCTGTTTATGTAATTTCCTACTTGCTTCTTCTCCTGAAGATGGTGACTTAGACCATTCCAAGCTGAATGTCTGGATGGACTTCATACTTCAACATAGTGTTAGGCAAGGTTTTATCACAGGAAATTCTGAAAACAATTACATATCTTGTAAAGCTTAACCAGGAGTATGCTTATGGTGGAACTCTACTGCTGGAAAAGACCAGTAGGTGTGATAACATGCTACAAATGTAGCTTGCCATTAACTAGGCAAATCCTGGTCTTAATCAATGAAGTAGCTTTCTGTTCTGAAATGAGAATAAGACCTAATGCTAGTGGCAGACTAGGCCACTAGCAGATTGTTAGCAGGCTGTTTTGAGAATGCTCTGCTGGTGTAGAGGGACTCCTCCTTTTGTTTCCATTTTGGAAAATCTCTTGACATAGTAAATGGGTTGTTTATAATAAATGCCAAGTCTGCCTTCCTACCTTGAATCTTCAAGGGCTGTTGAGATACTGTAGTTGTAAGGTTTCTTACTTGAGGCAAGGAATAAACAGGAACAGACGTCTTAAACAGACTTTGTTTCCATAGTAATATTCTCCAGTACTGTGTATTTTTATATCACTGTAGAGATTCACACAAATGTCTTAAATTGTTTTTTTATCCAGATGTCTCAGATGATGTTCTTCATATGACACAGCTCCGAAATTGCTGTTTTTAGGAACAAAAGTGGGAACTCTTTGGATTTAAGGCTGGATTATGTAAAGATAGTTCTTCCTGTAGCTTCTGAGTTCTCCTCGTGAACCAAAGCCCTCCTTTGCTGAGTGGGCATAACCGAAAATCAGAGGTCATCCCTCTGATGACCTTAAATGTAAGGAACAGCAGGTGCAGTCACACAGAGTACAAGACAACAGCAGCAGTTATTTGTGTGGTGGTCTTGATGCATCAGCAGCTCCTAGTGTTTAACACTCTGAGCAATGTGCAAAAATTGTTTTGGAGGATGAGACTAGTAGCCATTTTCCAGGGAGTTTGTCCAGATGTGGAGAAATACGGAAGAAGCAGAAAGGTGCTTGTTAAACTTGAGCAAGGGGCCAAGTAGGGGGTGTCAGGATCTTGGCAGTGAAGTTTGCCTTGAAGAAGCTAGACAGTGAAGCCATTCATCTTCTGAGGCAGAAAGGGGATGCTGGACCTGGGAAAGTTATCTT